ACAATTATCGTGTGAACTTGTGCACTAGTATTAGCCGTGCATTCCTGTCGATCAATGGTTATGTGTTGAGGGTGCGTGATGTCATGTGCACCGCATCTGATGCAAGTATTTACGTTGGTGTAATGTTGGAGGGCGTTGTCCTAATTAGCTAGGTGCACTGGGTCGGGCGGGGTTAAGAGTCTTGTTTTATTCATTATTTTCCTCGTTGTTCTTGTTATTCTGTCGGTTAGAGTTCTATTAATACTTTAATATTAAAATTAGATTGATGTTGTAGTTATAATTCTATATTAGATTTTAATATTAGAACGAATCAGACTAACGGTGAATTAACGGTACTTAATGAAAAAGTTAACGGATCGGATAATCATATAATTAAGGATAAATTAAGAAATCTCAAGGAAAAATTAAAATCTGAACTATTCATTTGAGTTAATAATTTGACGGTCATTTATCTACCCAATGTTTATAATTAAATAAATATTTGAAAGTATATAAAAACTAGATTATATATGAGAAGTTCAACATAAGTAATTTAATGCTTAATTTGTTTATTTAAATATGTAATTCATAGTATATGAATACAATGTAGTATAGGAGTTCATTATAATTGTTACTAAACTTTTTTTAAATAGTAACCAAGTATTTTTGTTGCAAATGGTTCTAATATAATTAATGAATGCACATATATACAATATCAATGAATAAATCAACGGTACCAGTCCTTTAGGTGTTTTGCTCAGTGTTCATTTAGTTCAACCATTATTGTTGAATAAATTATTATGGATAAAGAAATTTCTAATTTAAGGAATCTAGATGTAGTAAAAATTTAAAAATTTTAATTATAATGTAACCCAAAGATATTTGGACAATTGGTAAATATGATGTAACCCAAAGATCAAAATGCTAAAGAAAGTGTTTTGCTTATTCAACAGTTTGAAGCAACAATTTGTTCCAAACCACTGAAAATACAAACATTGCAATTTATAATATTTTCACTTAACGTTTTTGAGAATGATTTTCCCAAAACACATATATATATTTTTTTTAAAATTATTATTAAAACAATTATTATTATTATTATTATTATATCCTTAGGTCATTTTAAATGTTAATTTAAACAGCTAATTTTTTCAAATATCTTTTTACCCGCCGTTGATATAATTCGCTGGTCAAATCCGCTAATATAATCCGCTAACTGCTGATTGTCAAACAAGGACATTGCGAGGTAATTTCTCACTTAAATTTGTTTTGTGATTTGAATACTTTCTTTGTCAACAAATCCCTTAAGTAGTTATTATAATTGGCTTATTAATTTAAATTTTTTAAATTTTTTCATGGTATTAATAAAATACTTGGTAAATAAATATATAACATTATTTTGTGTTATAACTTTGATATTTAATTAAAAAATAGTGCACAAAAAAAGATAATAGACAATGTAGTGAATATATAATCAATTGATGAATTTGAATGTAAAGAATTTTTACATTTGAGAAAAATAAAGACAATATAACTAATGAAATTTTTTCTCTTAATTAATTTATTGATAATGAATAATTTTTTTAATAAAGACATTGTACGGACAATGTAGCGAATATAATCAATTGATGAATTTGAAGGAAGAAGTAACAAGAAGCTTGGGCGTTAATGTGCGTGAGTTTCTGTTCTACTTCCTTCTGAGCTCGTAATTCTGAAATATGCAGGCACATTAAGCACAAATTTTACGCACATTAAATACAATACTCAGGCACATTAAGTGCAAAACTCACGCATATTAACGTGACGCACATTAAGTACAAATCTCAGGCACATTGAGTACAAATCTCACGCACATTAAGTATAAACCTCACGCACATTAATCCTCCGCACGGCGGCACGGGAAGCCACAAATGCACCTGATCCCTATATATATATATATATATATATATATATATATATATATATATATATATATATATATATATATAGTAGATAACGTTTTTGAAAATGATTTCCCCAAAGCACATCTCTATTTTTAAAAAAAATTATTATTAAAACAATTATTATTATTATTATTATTATTATTATTATTATTATTATTATTATTATTATTATTATTATATCCTTAGATCAGTTTAAATGTTAATTTAAACAGCTAATTTTTTCAAATATCTTTTTACCAACAGTTGGTATAATTCGCTGGTCAAATCCGTTAATGCTAACCGCTAACTGCTGATTGTCAAACAAGGACATTGCGAGGTAGTTTTTCACCTTAATTTGTTGTGTTATTTGAATACTTTCTTTGTCAACAAATCCCTTAAGTAGTTAATATAATTGACTTTATTAATTTAAAATTTTTAAATTTTTTCATGGTATTAATAGAATACTTGATAAATAAATATATAGCATTATTTTGTGTTATAACTTTGATATTTAATTAAAAAATAGTGCACAAAAAAATAATAGACAATGTAGTGAATATAATCAATTGATGAATTTGAATGTAAAAAATTTTTACGTTAGAGAAAAATAAAGACAATATAATTAATCAAATTTTTCTCTTAATTAATTTGTTGATAATGAATATTTTTTTTTTAATAAAGACATTGTAGGGACAATTTAGCGAATATAATCAATTGATGAATTTGAATTTTGAATTTAAAGAATTTTTATATTGGAGAAAAATAAAGACAATATAACTAATGAAATTATTTCTCTTATTTAATTTATTGATAATGAATATTTTTTTTTCCAATAAAGGCATTGTAGACACATAATTTTAAATTAAAGAAATGTATATGTATTATTTTTTATTGTATCTACTAAATTATTATTTTATAATTTATTAAGAGTGAAATAGAGTACTAATTATGCCAACTTTGATTGGGATGAGGTTCGAACCTAAGACCTTTCTTATTGAAATTAATGAATAAGTTAACGGTGAACTAACAGAAATTAACGGAAAAGATAATATTAAATGATGGTGGTGCAAATAGCACTTTTTAATTAACACCAAGTGATTTGACCTATTCAATAGGTGGTGCAAATAGTAAAATAGGTGGTGTGAATAAAATTTTCCTAATTAAAATACAAATTACTTTATTATAATTTTAAATCCTAATGACTTTTCATAGTTCCAAGACATATTCTGATCTGTTCATTGTTCAATAAAAGACAATATTAACTTCAAACTCTATATAAACCTTCTTTGCCATTGCATCTGCACGGCCAGATTATACATATGCCATTCTGAATCACCTGTGAAAACAACAACGATTTAGACATATGAAGTTCCAGATGTTAGAAGAAGTCAAACAAGTAAAACTTTAGAATGCCTGTTTCATGAACAAGAGGTAAATATATCATTTTTTTCTTTGTTCTTTTATGTAAACTGTTTCAGGTTATATGATTAAAGGTAAGGTTAATCATATATGAATCTAATGATCAGGATGGACAGCTTTTTCACTGTAGCACAGTTGCAGTGTGAATGTTATTGGTTTTGAAATGCGGCTACTTATAGCACCATTATTTTGGTGATAAGATATGATTTTAAACTCTTTGAACTGCAACTTCTATATAATGTTATAGAATTACATCTTCTTTTTTTGTACTTTTGTCTTCTTCTTTTTTTTTTTTTTAATACTTTTTGCAGGATTAACTCTGTACATCCATTAGGCATGAGGAGTTCGGAGTTGATTGTTAATTATTCATCTGTATAGTATAATGTAATGTTTATGTTTTGGAAAATCATATCAACATTCCTTATTACCTAAAGCTAAGAAGGATGCTGAAGTGTACTATTTGTAATAATTACATCTAAGGCTGGAATTAGTGACAATGTATGTACTTATAATTCAGCAGTATTAGGTAGTATATCATATCAGCATATAAATGTTTTTCTGCTTTAAGCAACTGAAATTTGCCTTAAAAAACGATTTAGACACAAAAAATACTTTCTGTTTCCTTTTAGTTTTTCATTATTTTTTCTCACTACTTGAGATATTAAAATTCTATTTAAGAGAAAATTCTACTTTAGAGGACACAGGTTTGCCCTCTAAACTAAAAATTAAACTTATTTCCAGTAGTGAAAAACTAAAAAGAAAGTCATCTCATTGTCTTTAAGGTTTTTTTTTTTTTTTTTTTTTCTAAAAGAACAGTAAGTAATTTTTTTTTTGTCTTACTGTGTTTTTAAGAAAAAAAAAAAAAAACTTAGACAAAAATCAATTCATTTGCATAAATGAGATGACTTTTCTTTCATTTTTTACTACTTGAAATATTAAAATTAAAATTATAAAAAAATAGTAAGATGAAAAGTCTTTTTTTTTACTGAAACAGAAATTACTGATCATTCATACATGATCAACTATAAAACAGAAGGCAATAACACTATAGTTGCAAACAATAGGTGAGATATTTCATATGAAGAGTTCAACATTTAGCTGACATCGTTAATTACTAAAAAATGTTCAAAATTTTTTCGGAAATTTCGTCTACAATTTTTTGAAAAATCCTAAGTCAAATACATGAATAAACGGACAATAATTTCTTAATCCAACAAATACAAAAACATTTAGAGAAATTTTATAGTAAATAAAGAGTAAACCGAGTGAATCAACTAAAGGGATAGGTTCACTTATCTCAGTTAGGGTTTTCGACTGCTTCCTCAAATCGATGGTGCGATTTATGTCAATAGGGAATTTTATGAACTGAAAACGATGATCACTACTACAAAATTCCAGATTCGAGCCCTTAATCACCAGAAATTACGAACAACGAAGTACGAAACCTAGGGAGACTGGTAGATTGTCTAAAAAAAAAAAAAAAACTAGGGAGACTGGCAGAAATTACGGTTTAGAGACTAAATCGTAAGTCTCTGAAATACAACATTAGTTGATCTAAGAAGCAAATTAAAACCTAAACAATAGCAGTAGGATTTAGGGTTCATGGCAGATTGGAGGACGGAGATGGGGAGAATCGGTGAGCGGATAGGGAAGGTGTGTGGCGATAGAATGCGAAAAGTCTTTCTTTGGCAAGCATGTACTAATAGCTTACCCACAAAGGACCTCCTACGCAGGAAAAGAGTGGACTGCGATGCACTTTGCCCTCTTTGCGATAGCTCGGAAGAGTCCATCTATCACCTTCTTGTGGAATGTACTTATGCCAAAACATGCTGGACACATTCAGGTATGCAGGTCAGTGTTACCAGGGAGCCCTCCTTCTCAGCATGGATCAGCAACAACACGGCCATGTTAACCAAAGATCATCAGCGGTTGCTTGCTATTATCTGTTGGGAGCTCTGGCGTCATAGAAATGAAAAGCTGTGGAACAACTCATCAATCCCCCGTGCAGAGCAGCTTGTTAGAAATGCTAAAGGGTTCCTGAAGGAATGGACTGATGCTAAGGGACTGAAATTCTCTCCACAACAGGGCCTCCCTGAACCGAATCAGAAGTGGACAAAACCGCAACCAGGATTACTTAAAATGAACGTGGATGCGGCGATAAATATCCAGGAAGCAGCTATGGGCCTTGGCAGCGTGATTAGGGACGAGGATGGAAAGTTCATTGCTGCAAGGGGAGAACAATGGAAGGGTTTATTCGCTCCTAGGGAAGCCGAAGCAATCGCGATCCGTGAAGCTTTAAGCTGGCTTAAACTGCACAACATAGACAATGTTCATGTAGAATCAGACTCTCTGCAAGTTGTTCAAAGCCTTAACTCAAATGGCGGAGTGTCTTCTTTTCATCTTATTGTTGAAGATATTAAACACCTATTGAATGACTTCTGTAATGTGTTTATTTGATCAGCGAACCAGACGGCCCATGTACTAGCAGGCAGTCTTGTTCTGTGTCTGATTACTTGGAGTGGTTCTTCAACCCTCCTTCTATCATCTGTAATGTGTTGATTTCCGATTTAAGTTAATGAATTCTCTTCTTGTTTTCAAAAAAAAAAAAAAAAATGCCAAAAGTCGGCTAAGGGATAGTTTTGGTTTTTTTTTTTTGGGTTTTATATTTCGTTAATTGGGTCGGGTGGTTGGGCTTGGATCGGGTTATTGGGCTGTTTTTTATTTTATTTTTTTATTTTATTTTTTTTTTGTGCAGAATGAAATTATAGAGAAAATGGTCAAATAGATCCCTAAACATTTCGCTAAAAGTCAATTAACCCCACAAACTTTTAAAAAGGTCAATTGAACACATGAACACACAATTTTGAGTCACTTGACCTCATTAACAGGTAACTTTTTCCTGAAGAACCGGTAATTGACCATGTGGCGCCACGTCAACTTTGTTTTATATTTTGAATTGCCACATAAAAATTATAAAAAAAAAAAACAAATTAAAAGATGATTTAAATCGCACCTACACCCTAATTCTCACGTAAACAACTCAACTTCTTCTTCGAAATCTTATCTTCATCTTTCTTTTAAAATCTTATGCTTCTTCTTTCTTCGAAATCTGCTTCTTCTTCTTTTTTTCTACGCCATGTGCTTCTTCTTCTTTTTTTCTACGCCATCTGCTTCTTCTTCTTTCTTCTACGACATCTGCTTCTTCTTCTTTTTTTCTACGCCATCTGCTTCTTCTTCTTTCTTCTACGACATCTGCTTCTTCTTCTATGCTTCATCTCTTCATCTTGTTCCATACTTGATTCATTTTCCTCATTCATACTACGGAGCATATCTCTTCATCTCGTTCCATACTTGATTCATTTTCCTCATTCATAACTATCTTTGCTATTTCTTCAAGGAGGCCCATAGATGCCTCCCCAATTACTTCATCAACAAAGAGAGCCATCCCCTCTTCCAAATCAGGTTCAAACATGGAGGTCTGAATCGGTGCAAGTCCATCATCTTCCTTACTCTATTCGACTGTAGGTGTGATTTAAATAATCTTTTAATTTGTTTTTTTATATATAATTCTTATGTGGCAATTTAAAATATTAAAAAAAAAAAAAAAACTGACGTGGCGCCACATGGTCAATTACCGGTTCTTCAGAGAAAAGTTACCGGTTAATGGGGTTAAGTGACTCAAAATTGTGTGTTCATGTGTTCCATTAACCTTTTTAAAAGTTTGTGAGGTTAATTGACCTTTAGCCAAATGTTTAGGGGCCTATTTGACCCTTTTCTCGAAATTGTATTGCATTAAAATTTTGGGTCTAAATTAGTTATAAAAGTATTTGTTAGCCTGATTATATATGTTATTTATATTGTTATATTTTGTGGTCTTATAATATTTATTATGCTACTATATGTTATACATATAATATAGTAAATATTTAAGGTTTTATTTTTTCAAGACTTTAATCTTTATTAAAGTTCTATATAGATGTTCATTAAGGTTTTATTCTTTTTGCATACTTTAAAACTTGGGTCCAAGAATTTATTATATTAAGAAGTATATTTGTTCTCACACACACACACACACACACACACACACACACACACATATATATATATATATATATATATATATATATATATATATACTTCTATTTAATTATTGGTTAAGTTTTTTTAAATTGAAAAATAATATGAATTAAATTCATATATTTTTATATTGTATTTAGCATTATTGTATAGATTTTCTTGAATTAAATTCATATAATTTTATACTATATTTTCATTCTTTTGATATCGCACGTGAATTTTTTTTTTTTAGAAAGCATATATATTTAATTATGGTCAAATGTACGTAGCACTTTCAATAATAAATAATCTAAAGAGATTAAAAATTTTAATTTGTAGAGATAATGGACAATATGTGAGTACGACTAAAAATACCATATACAAAGAAGTTTTCATTAATATGTAATACAATTTGCTAAATACCATTTTTTTCTTCATTTTTTAATTATTATTATTACGTTATATTGTTGTATTATTATTATTATTATTATTATTATTATTATTATTATTATTATTATCTATGGCCGTACATCGCACGGGTACAAATACTAGTTGGCCAAAGGAAAATAAAAAGGTATTAAAAATTTATGTTTGGAGAATCCAAAAGGCAAATCAAAACGACATCACTTTTGTTGGGCGGAAAAATGAAGTAATGTGATTTGCCAAATTCTTATGACTTTATTATATAGCAGGATAGTAGGATAATAATATTAAACTATATCTTATTATCTTTATTCCAATATTTCCCATAATATAATCATTTCTTTACTTCCCTTAATCTCAACTTAAAACCTCACTCCTTTATTACTAGGCGACTACTACCAATCTTAATCATTACCAAAATTATAATATAAAATGAAAACTAAATATGCTTATGCCTAAAATCAAACCAGAGGCCTTCACCATATCAAACAAACTCTTTAACCACTCCACCACCTTAACTCATTTAACCCCTAATTATTTTTAATACTAAATAAGCCTTCATCAACATTAATTCATCATCCTATATTATTAATACAGTAATACACTGCCGAACATCACCATCTTCATCAACAATAGCTCTCACCATTAATCCTTAATCACTCTCAATAATCATAGTATTGTCTTTAGTTAATCATTAAGCCATCATCATTAACTAATTATTATAGTCATCATTATCCTCCAATATTTAAATCTTACATTTCTGCATCTGCCTCATCCTTGCGTCATCTTCATCAACATCCAACTCCCAAGCCACCGTCGACTTCCCTAGCTTAACGCCGTCGTCAGCCACCGTCTGAGAAGGCTTTGAGCTCACTGGCTTTGCTGCTGCTTCGCCAGATCTGTTCGCGCCGGTGGAGAAAACGTCCGGACTGCTGCAGATTGTTGTCCGCCGTCGAGGAAGGTCGCCGCCGGACGTCGTCGCTCGCCGGAGAAAGGGAGAAGGTCACCGCTATTGCTCCTTTCTCAGATCTGCCGCGTCTGCCGCCAACCACCGGAGCTGCTGCGTCGAGAAAACAGAGGGAGGTACGAAGATGGAGATGTGGGTTTGTTGGTGGGTTGTTTCAGTTTGCTATTGATGAAGGTGAAGATGGCTGAAGGTAGTTGTGTTGTTGCTGCCATTATATTAGAGAAGGGGAAGAGAATGAGCTAAGATGGAGAGACACGAGAGGGCTGCTGATCTTCTTCTGGCTTGAGGGAGAGACAAGCCGAGAGAGAGGAAAGGAGAGAATAGGAGGGGGTGTTTGGTCAATGGTTATGCTGTGTAACCGTGTCCATCATACATTTTACAAAACGACGCCGTTTCATTTAAAAAAAAAAAAAATATTATACCAAATGACTTGTGGTTCATTGGTATCCGATTGATTCCTTATGTGGGATGTCTTAGGTTCAAGTCATAAGGGTATCCCCTTATTCCTTAAAAAAAATCCGTGCGAATTGTCATTAACGGCGTTAGGCGATTTTCTTTCCTATTTACATAACTATATATTTATAATTTCACAACTACACATAAAAACATATATATATATATATATATATATATATATATATATATATATATATATATATAGAGAGAGAGAGAGAGAGGCGGGTTCAGGTGCGGCAGTGTCTTACGGTGCGGCAACACCAATAGTTCACCAAATATGCACGTTAGGAAATACACCACACAAAACAGAGTAAACAGAGCCCTGCATCATCAAACACACACCATTAGGTGTGAGTAAAAACACCATACACTGTTCGAAAATACACCATTGGGGGTGGTGAGTTATATGGTGTGTTTTTTTGAGTCTGTGGTGTATTTTGTGATGTTTTATTACATTTCATTGGGGTGTGTTTTTATTACACCGTTGGTGCATATTGTTAACACTGTTGATGTATTCTGGAATTTGACCGCACCGCCGCACCGTAAGACCCCGCCGCATATGAGCGCTCTTCTATATATATATATATATATATATATATATATATATATATATATATATATATAATATTATAACTATTTTTATTTGGGTAGGATTTCTAAATTTTAAAAAATGGACTAAAGTGTAGAATTGGTATTTTCATTGGGTTCAAAAGAATTCTAGAATGCATTTACACATTGGGCTTAGGAGAATTTAGGAAATAAAGATATTTGGGCTCAAAATAATTCTAATATTTAGAGATTAAAATATTTAGGCTTTGATAATGGTAAAATGACTTTTTGGGTTCGTCTCAACTAAATTTTTGGGTTAACATTTTAGAATAAGTCGTCATAGAATTAAAATAATTATATTTTGAAACTTTATAAAATAGGAATCTGTAAAAAAATTTTGAGTTGTCACAAAAAGGACTTCAACATGAAAGAGTTGTGGGTATGTTTGTCTAGCAAAGAAGGGTAATATGCACTCTAAAATAGTAGGGGAAGGACAATGAGAGAGAAAATGAAATACTCCATAATAACTTGTATGCATTCCATAACATGTACGTAATGCCCAGTTTGACATGCAGATTCAGATTAATTCAGCTCAATTTTTTGGTTTCAATTTCAAAATGTAATACGTAATATCTTTTTTGCAATTCATTATCATTTTTAAAAGAGACTCTAATGTTATATTAACATATTTGAAATTGGTCTCGAATAGAATTTAAATGGGTGAAAAATAATTTTTGTATTAGAATTTCACAAATTCTATTCTTGTCAATACTCTTTCAATTTAGTTCGTTGCAAATAATTTTTTTAGTGCGATTTATTTCTCCTTTGTGATTTATAAGTTGTTACACAAGAATAAAATTTACCCAACACACCCTCAAATAGTATTTATGAGTTTTCTTCATCTCTCAAAAACTATATTAATATATTAATATTTTCTCCACATTCTTTTCAATTTCAATTAACTCTTAAGTATAATGTAATAGTTGAAATGTGTGCTACTTCTTTCTTATTTTGAAATAAGACATTTTTATCTCTGACACTGTAAATTTACATTGACTATGTAAACAAACTATATATATACAAAATACATGACCAACAACCTTTATAAATACATTAATATAACATTAAACTAACAAGCCGTTTGGTTGGAAAAATATAAATT